TTTTTTTTTTTTTTTTTTTTTTTGGGCATTGCATTGCTTACATCTGAGGGCGTCCTGTTCCGCAGCTCTAAGTGGATCCTTTTCTTCATGTCCATGTCCGTGGCTGGCGGCAGGCGCGGAGGGTGCGCGGCTCGGCTGGCGCAGTGACCCCGTGCAGAGCCCCCCGATCGCGGGGCGCGGAGGGACTCGGGCTCGCCCAGCGCCGCTCGGAAGCCCGAGCGCAGCACCGCGGCGCGCACTAACCTGATAACCGCGGGGGCGGGCGCTCCGGGGGCTCCGCCGGGATTGACAGCGCCATGGGCCAATCGCAGCGCCGTGCTGCCGCGTCTCAGCCAATCAGCGGCGCGAGGCGCGGCGGAAGCCAATAGGGGAGCGGCTGTGCCGGGCAGGGGGACAGCCCGGCGCCGAGCCCAGGCTCATTCCGCGCTGCCGCCTGATGGGGACGGAGCGGCGGCGGCTCCGCCGCGCTGAGCGCGGTGCGCGCTGCTCCCGCGGCCGGCCCGAGCCTAGGGGAGGCGCCGGGTCGGGGAGCGGTGGCCGAACCGGAACCCCCCGGCCAGGGGCGCGCAGCCAGGAGGGAGGGAAAGGTGCGGAGCGAGGCACGGCAATGGCGCGGGCAATGGCGCGGGCCCCGGCGGCGGGGGGCGGGCGGCGGGCGGAGCGAGCGAGGAATGGAGGGAGGGGCGGCGGCGGCGGCGGCGGCGCTGAGGGGAGGGAGAACGGCCGGGCCGCCCTCAGAGGGGTCCCCGCGGCCGGAGCCGCCTCGGCGGGCTGGGAGCGGCTCCGGAGGGGAAGCGGAGGGCGGGAGGCGCTGCTGGGGCCCGGGAATACCGGGAAGGGCTTCCCGGGAACACCGGGAAGGGCCCCGGTGGGGCCGGGGCGGCGCTGAGGGCCGGGCCGCCCTCAGAGGGGTCCCCGCGGCGGGGCGGGCTCCAGAGGGGAAAGGGAAAAGAAAAAGGAAAGGAAAAAGGAAAGGAAGGGAAAAGAGAAAGGAAAGGCGGGAGGATCCCCTCAGGGACCTCAGCAGGGCCCGGCTGTGCTGAGGTGGGGCAAGGCCAAGGACGGGAGTCTTTAATTTGCCAGGAAAGCTGGGAAGGGATTTTTTTTTTCTTTGGAATGTCAGGACAAGGGGGATGGATTCAGGCTGGAAGAGAGCAGGGTGAGGGTGGGGTATCAGGAATTTCTGAAATTCCCACAGAAGCTGGGGCTGCTCCAACCCTGGAATGTCCGAGGCCGAATTGGAGCAGCCTGGGATAGGGAAAGGTGTTGGGATTGGGGCTGGATGGGTGTAAGATCCTTTCCAAGCCAAATCCCAGGGATTTTGAAGGAAAATGGGATCAGCAGAATGGAGATTGAGCCAGGCTGGGAATGCTGGAGAAGAGAAGGATCCAAGGAATTCTCAGAGCCTTTTCCAGGGCCTGAAGGAGCTCCAGGAGAGCTGGAGAGGGATTGGGATCAGGGATGGAGGGACAGGACACAGGGAATGGCTTCCGTTGGAAATCGGGATGGGAAATGGGGATGGAATTCCTGGCTGGGCTGGAATTCCCAGGGTTCTATCCCTGGAATGTCGGAGGGTGGGGTTGGAGCAGCCTGGGATAATGGGAATGATCCCTTCCCATCCCAAACCATTCCCGGATCCTTTTCCAGGCGCTGCTGGATGAAGATCCGAGCTCCAGGGCTGCTGTTTTCCAAGGATTTTGGGATTTCCAAACTCTTCCCATCAGCTGGAGCAGAACTCAGGTAAAAAGTGCTTTTATTCCTTCAGAAATTCCCATTTATCCCTTCCTGCTCTTGGCCAGTTTTCCCTGGAAAACACAGGATTGGAAAATCCCAAAGAGCTGTTGGAAAGCATGAAGGGAATGCTGGAAATCCTTGGAAAAATCCTTGGAAAACTTGATTTTATCCACATGTTTCACAGGGCAGGATGGAGATAAAGTCTCAGCTGTGAGCATGGAAAAATTCCAGGAATGTGGATGAAAACAGCAGGAATTACGTTGGGATCAGGGTGGGAAAAGCTGGATCCAACTCCAGGTAAAAATTCCAATTTCAGCAAAATGTTCGGATTTTTGGGATGTTTGAGGGGTTTGGGATGGAATCTTGGGATTGGTTGAGAAATCCTTGGTTGGAATTAATATTCCAAACTTTCTGAAATGTTTGGGATTTGGGAATGAGGTGGAATTTGATTTTAAGCTTTGTTTAATTTCTCCTTTGCAGGTGTGTCCAGAGGTGACTCCTGGGCTGAATCTTCGGGAATTTTTCATGGAATTTGTGCTCCTGGTGCTGCTGGAAACCTTTGGAAAAGAAGTTTTCTCCTGGAAAAAAATTTCCTGGGACAAGCTGGGATTTAAAAGGAACTTCTGGGAATCCAGAGCTGCTTTTTCCTTTGTTGTTTTTTTCTTTCCAAAGAAAAATGTGGATTTTGATTGTTTGAAGGTGCAGAAAATTCATTTTTCTTTCATTATTGAGGGAATTTATTCCCAGTTCCAAGCCAAAATTCCATGTTCAAAGCTGCTCCTGCCATCGTTTGTATTACAAGAGGTTGGGAATTCTAAAAAAAATGGGAATTATAATAATGGGAATAAATTTGAAAGGATATTTTTCCAGGGTACAACTTTCCTTCTGTGATTTTTTAGTTCCTGGGGTTTTTTTCCTGGTTTACTCTTCTAGGAATTTGGAATTTGTGGGATTGGTTTTTAGCAGGAATTTGAGGGTTTTTCCCCTGTTTTTTAGCAGGAATTTTTAATGGAATTTGTGGGATTTCTCTTGCTTATTTTTAAGAGGGATTTTTAATTTGTGGGATTGGTTTTTACCAGAAATTATTCATGGAATTCGTGGGTATTTTTTTTTCCTTGTTTATTTTACCAGGAATTTTGAATTTGGGGAATTTTTCCCTGTTAATTTTTAACAGGAATTTGTGGAGTTTTTTTCTTTGTTAATTTTTACCAGGAATTTCCAATTTCTGGGACTTTTTTTTTCCTTGCTTCTTTTATCACGAATTTTTGAATTTGTGGAATTGGTTTTTACCAGGAATTTTGAAATTCTTGAGGTTTGGTTTTAAGGGGAATTTTTAATGGAATTTGTGGAATTTTTCCTATCTGTTTTTCCAGGAATTTTGAATTTATGGGATTGGTTTTTACCTGGAATTTTTAAGAGAATTTCTGAGGTTTTTTTCTCTTGTTTATTTTACCAGGAATTCTCCGTTTCTGGGATTTTTCCTTGTTTGCTTTTATCAGGAATTTTGAATTTATGGAATTGATTTTTAACAGGAATTTGTGGGATTTTTCCTTCTTAGTTTTTCCTTTTTTTTTTTTCCCCAGGATTCCCCCCCAAATTCCTTAGGAATTCTCCTTTTCCTGCCCCACATTCCCGGGCTGAATTCCCATGGAAAATCCTTGGGAATTTTTTGTTCATCCCTTGAATGTCTCTTTGTTTTCCCACACAAAGAATTCCATCTTTTTATTGGGAACAACTCCTGGCTCTGCACAGCTGGGAAGGGAAAAATTCCCAAAATTCCCCCAATTCCCACCCTCAGTATTCCCAACAGGGAAACTTTGGGATAAAACAAATCCCTGGGATGCAGGAATTCTGTGGAAAACACCCTTGGGATTCCATAGGAGTTCCCAGTTTGTGGTTTAACCCCTTAAAATTGGAATTTTTTGCAGCATTCCAGGGGAAAAAAAGTGGGAAAATCCCATTAAAAGAATGAGGAAAAGCTGGTTTGAAGGGAAAAAAATGAGGGGAAAATTTCTGGGGTGGCTCCAAAATTCCCTAAAATTATTTGGAAAATGTTACTGCCATTTTTTAAAAAAATTTTATTAAATGTATTTTCTTCTTCCCAGGAAAATTTGTGGGATAATTGGAATATTCCCGATTTTTCTGATGGAATATTCCAAGATTTTCCTGCTTTATTGGCCTGGATTAATGGGAGGATTTGGTAAAATCCCTGAAAAATTCAGAATGAGTTAAAAATCCAAGGAATTCTAGGTTAATCCTTCAGAGTTTAGGGAAAATGGGTGGAAAAGTGGAATAAACTTGGAAGTAGAAGGCACAATTCTTTGGGAATTAAAATCAAGTCACTTTAGATGTGGGAAAGGTTGGGAAAAATTGAATTTTTGGGAATTTTTGCTGTCAGAAATCTGCGAGGGTAGGGGGGGATGAGAAGAAAAATGGGGAAAAAAAACTTCTGGGATCTTTGGAAAATTCCTAAGAAAATTTGTAGGAAAATAAATGGAAGGAAAAAAGATGGGAGGGGGGGAAACCTGGAAAAACACAATTTTTGGGATAAAATCTTCCAGGGAATTCTAAGAAATTGAAGGATAAAAAATATTTTGGAAGTGAGGTGAAAAAAAGGGAAAAGTGGGAATGGCAGAATTCCAAGGAATTTTCCTGGAGGAGAACCCACAGGATTGATGGAGCCATTCCCAAAAACCCCCAAGAGGATTCCAGGGCAACAGAAAATTTGGGAATTCTGCTCCAATCCTGCCACGTTGGGATGGATCCAGAGGTTTTTTTCCCTGGCTGTTTTTCCAGGAATTTCACTCCAGGTTTTTCCTTTTGGGAATTTTGCCCATTCCCACCTTTTTTTCCAGTTATAAATCCCACGGGAATGTTGAGTTTCCCTCCTTTCCAGGATTTTCTGGAGCAGGAGCTGCTTCCAGAGGCTCCTGATTTGGGAAGAGCTCCTGGAATTCCTGAGAGTGAGGAAATCCCACGGAATCCAAGGAAAAGTTGGGAATTGGGGGTGGTTCCTGTAAAAAACAGGGATGGAAAGGGATGAAACTCCTGAGAATGAAGAAATTCCACAGAATCCAAGGAAAGTTGGGAATTGAGGGCGTTTTCCTGTAAAAAAAAACCAGGGATTGAATTTCTCAGGATGAGGAAATTCCGTGGAATCCGAGGAAAACTTGGGAATGTGGAGGATGTTTCCAGTCTAAAACGGATTGAAAGGGATTAAATTCCATGGAGAATCAGGGAATTCCATGGAATCCAGGGAAAATGTGGGAATTAAGGGCAGGTTTCCTGTAAAAAAACAGGGATTGAATTCCTCAGGATGAGCAAATCCCACAGAATCCAAGGAAAATTTGAGAATGCAGCTCCCGTTCTCAACATTCCCACCTGGAATTCCCATTCCTTGGAGCCCCAAATCCCACCTGGAGCAGAATTCCCAGGTTTTTTCCCTATGGATGCGCCTGGATACAACACAGCTGGAAAAGGATCGGCTCCATCCCAGGAAAAAAACTCTGGGATCTCAAGAAATACTGGGATAAAAATGTGGAGATCCCAGGAAAAGGGCTGGATTTGGGATGGGAAAAAAACCTGGATTTGGGATAGGACAGGGCTGGATTTGGGATAGGGGGAAAGGGCTGGATTTGGGATGGGAAAAAAGATGGATTAGGGATGGGGGGAAAGGCTGGATTTGGGAAGGGGAAAAGGTGGATTTGGGATGGGGGGGGGGATGGCTGGATTTTATCCCGTTTATCCCGTAATTCTGGGAATGTTTGGAATTTTTCGGGATCCAGTTTTGTGCTCCAGCAGTTCCTCCCAGTTATTCCCGCTGGGATCCGGGGTTTCAGCTGCCTCTGGAGTGTGGGAATCGGGAATATTTCATCTCTGGATCTGCTCCTGACATTCCCATGGCAACCTCGTCCCAGCCGGATTTCTTCCGGAGGGAATAAAAGGCTGGAAGCTGGAAAAGACATTCCCGGTGTGTTCCTGACGGGCAGGAATTCGGGAATGGAGCCCCGTGAATGGCGGCTCCAGCTGGATTCGGCAGGAACACAATTCCCGAGGGATGGATGGGACAGGGAACTGGGAGAGGGATAAACACCAGCTGGAAAAAGCGGGATCGGGATGGGCCACGGGGCTGGGCGGGATTTGGGAAAGGAGAGCCAATGGGAATGAGGCAGGAGTGGGGATTTGGGATTTATTCCAGCAGGAAATCCCAGCTGGATCCATCCAGCTCCTTGGGAACGCCACGGGCTTCTCCAGGATTTCCCTTTGGAGTCGTCCCGGATCCCTTGGAGGTGAACGGGAGAGGTCGGAGATGGGGAAAGGCTCCTGGAAGTCGGAATTCCTTTGGATCCTGGGGAAATCTGGGATGTTGGGAAGTGCTGATGGATTTCATGGAGTGTGGGGGATTGGAGGAATTTTGGAGGGAATGGGAGAGGGAGAATGGGAGAGGAAGGAATGAGAAAGAAGGGAATGAATGGGAATGGGAGAGGAAGGAATGGGAAAGGGAGAAGAGGGAATGGGTATGGAAGGAATGGGAAAGAAAGGAATGGGAATGGGAAAAAGGAATCCCCAGGGATGCTCCCAAGGGCTGTGTGAGCCCCGTGATTATCCCAGGAATTGGGCTTGGCAGCTCCATGGAAATCTGGGATTCCACGGGCGGGCAGCGCTGCCGGAATCCGGCTGATCCCTGCAGGATCCAGCTTTGGGATGCTCCATGTGAGGAACTCTCCGGAATGGGGCTGGGAGCTCCCCAAAGGGAATGTTGGGATTTAGGGATCGCTCCGGAGCCATGGGAGCGGCGGCAGACGCGGAGTGGCTGCGCTGGGTGAGCAAACAGTTCGGGAATGTCGCTGGGAAGGAGAAGGAAATCAGCCTGGAAGAGTTCAAATCCGCCCTGCAGGTCAAGGAGGTGTGGGATCCGTGGGAAGAGGGATTCCTGGGGAAAAGGATTCCTGGGAAAAGGGGAGAGGGATCTGTGAGAAGAGGGAATGGGACCCATGGGAAGAGAGGAAGGATCAGTGAGAATTCCCTGATCCATGGGGAACATTCCCTGATTCCTGATCCAGGGGAACATTCTCTGCTTCCTTGACTCCCTGATCTATGGGAACATTCCCAATTCCCCAATTCCTGATCCATGGGAACATTCCCTGATTCCTGATCGATGGGAACATTCCCTGATTCTCTGATTCCCTGCTCCATGGGAACATTCCCTGATTCCCCAATTCCATGCTCCATGGGAACATTCCCTGCTCCATAGGAATATTCCCTGATTCCATGCTCCATGGGAACACTCCCTATTCCCTGATTCCCTGATCCATGGAGAACATTCCCTGCTCCATGAGAACATTCCCAATTCCCTGCTCCATGGGAACATTCCCTATTCCCTGATTCCCTGATCCATGGAGAACATTCCCTGCTCCATGGGAACATTCCCGTTTTTCCCTCAGTCCTTCTTTGCCGAGAGGTTTTTTGCGCTCTTCGATTCCGACGGGAGCGGCTCCCTGAGCCGGGAGGAGCTGCTGGGATCCCTGCGCCGGCTGCTCCACGGGAATTCCATGGAAAAGCTCCAATTCCTCTTCCAGGTGTACGATGTGGATGGTGAGAGGAGAAAAACGGGATTTTCGTGGGGTTTTTTTTTGGGAGAAATTTGGGATTTGGTCTTCTCCGAGCATCCAGGTTTGGCTGGGATGAGGCTGCTCCATGGAAATGTGGGAATGGGAAAATTCCAGCTGGAAATCAAAGATCCCATTGGTCACACTTGAGGATTTCCCTGGATGCCATTCCCATTATCCAATCATTTATTCCTGGGAGTAGATCCTGACCCATCCAGGATTTTCCTCCCTGCAAGAAAAATTCCTGGATTAGGACTGGAAAATTGGGATGGAGATGGCTCCATAGGGCTGTGGAATATCGGGATCCTCCTGATTTCCCAGGGAACAGATCCTGAACCACCCAGGATTTTCCATGCTTTGAGTAAAATTCCTGGATTAGGATTGGAAAACTGGGATGGCTGTGGAATATCGGGATGGAGATGATTCCGTAGAGCTCTGGAATATGGGGATGGAGACTGTTCTGTGGGGCTCTGGAATATCGGGATGGAGACGGTTCCGTGGGGCTCTGGAATATCGGGATGGAGANGTGGGGCTCTGGAATATCGGGATGGAGACGGTTCCGTGGGGCTCTGGAATATCGGGATGGAGATGATTCCGTAGAGCTCTGGAATATGGGGATGGAGACTGTTCTGTGGGGCTGTGGAATATCGGGATGGAGACTGTTCTGTGGGGCTGTGGAATATCGGGATGGAGACTGTTCTGTGGGGCTGTGGAATATCGGGATGGAGACAGTTCCATGGGGCTGTGGAATATCGGGATTCTCCCGCTTTCCCAGGGAGCGGCTCCATCGATGCCGAGGAGCTGCTCCAGGTGCTCCGGGGGTGTCTCCGGGAGAGCTCCCTGGCCCTTCCCGAGGAGCGGCTCGGAGCCCTGAGCCAGGCCCTGCTCCAGGCCTTGGACCGGGATCACAGCGGCTCCATCACCTTCCCCGAACTCCGGGAACAGCTGGAAGCGTTCCCAGAGCTCCTGGAGAACCTGAGCATCAGGTGGGGAGGGGAGCGCTGGGATTTCCGGGAAAGGATTCCATGGGGAGCCTGCAGTGGGGCTGGGAGCAGCTGGAGAGGGTTGGGATGGGATGAGGGATGGGTTTGGATTTTGGGATGGAGTTGAGATGGGTGCAGGGATGATTTGGGAAGGGGTTGGAATGGGGACAGGGTTTGGATTTTAGGATGATTTGGGATGGGTGAAGGGTTTGGATTTTGGGATGGACACGGGAATGGATACAGGGATGCTGCTACTCTGGCTATGGGGCTGGGTACTTCCCCAGCTTCCCCATTCCCATCCAAACCCCCCATTCCCATTTTCCCAGTGCTGCCAGCTGGCTGAAGCCTCCCAGTGCCAGTCCCGCTGGGCACTGGCTGTGCTGCTTTTCCCGGGAATCCTGCCGGGATCAGCGGGCCGGGCTGTGCTGCTTTTCCCGGGAATCCTGCAGGGATCAGCGGGCCGGGCTGTGCTGCTTTTCCCGGGAATCCTGCAGGGATCAGCGGGCCGGGCTGTGCTGCTTTTCCCGGGAATCCTGCAGGGATCAGCGGGCCGGGCTGTGCTGCTTTTCCCGGGAATCCTGCAGGGATCAGCGGGCCGGGCTGTGCTGCTTTTCCCGGGAATCCTGCAGGGATCAGCGGGCCGGGCTGTGCTGCTTTTCCCGGGAATCCTGCAGGGATCAGCGGGCCGGGCTGTGCTGCTTTTCCCGGGAATCCTGCAGGGATCAGCGGGCCGGGCTGTGCTGCTTTTCCCGGGAATCCTGCAGGGATCAGCGGGCCGGGCTGTGCTGCCTGGGGGCCTGGGTCGCCATCTCGGCGCTCCTGCTCGCCCTGGGGGCCCTGGGGCACCGCGAGCGCGGCCCCGCCCTGGCGCTGGCCCGGGGCTGCGGGCAGAGCCTGAACCTCAACTGCGCCCTGCTGGCCGTGAGTGGCCCGCGACACCGGGGGACACCGGGGGGACACGACCGAGAGGGAGCCGGGAAGGGTGGGAGCATCCCAGGGATTCTGGTCCGAAGTTTCCCCGTTGTCCACAGCGTTTTCCATGGTCCCCCAACATTTCCCATTCCCCCTGGAATTGCCGATTTCACCCCAGCATTTCCCATTCCCTCTGGAATTTCCATTTGCACCCCAACATTTCCCATTCCCTCTGGTCTCTCCCACTGCCCCCCACAATTCCAGTTGCCACCCTCCGGTATCTCCGGTTGCCCTGGCCCCTCCCCTCGCCCCCTGCTCGTCCCTGTCCCCATCGCTGTCCCCTGGTCCCTGCCCTCAGCCCCTGTTCTCTCCTGTCCCTGTCCCCTCCCTCGCCCTCTCCCCTGTCCCCACTGTCCCTCATCCTGTCCCTCTCCCCTGTCGCTGTCCCTGCCCTCACCCCCTGTCCCCTCTCCCCTGTCCCTGTCCCCTGTCGCTGTCCCCAGGCTCTGGTGCTGCGCCGCTCCCTGACCTGGCTGCGCCGCTCTCCGCTGGCCGCGCTTTTCCCGCTGGAGCTGCACGTGCGGGGCCACGAGCGGGTGGCACACCTGGTGCTGGCCCTGGCGACCGCGCACGCGGGGGCACACCTGGCACACGTGGGTCAGTGCCGGGGACACGGGGACACGGATGGGGGATCGTGTGCCGGGATCCTGGGGATTTGGGATCGTGCCCCGGGATCCCAGGGATGGGGGATCTCCCGTGTCCTGAGATCCCAGAGATGGGATGTCTCATGTCCCGGGATCCCAAAGAAGGGTGCCCGTGTCCCAAGGAGGAGGAGATGCCCTGGAAAAGGGGTGCCCGTGCCGAGGGGACAGGGCAGGGGCCGGGGCGGGGACAGGGCAGGGACAGGGCACGGGGCGGGCGCAGCAGCCGCGGGCTGTGATCCCCCTCTAGCGGCTCCCGCCGGGCAGCCGAGCTGCCGCTGCCCCGAGCGGGATCCCAAACCCCGGCATTCCCAAACCCCGGCATTCCCAAACCCCGGCATTCCCAAACCCCGGTACCCCAATCCCCATCCCGGAGCGGGTGCCAGGGGCTCTCTCCCCCCAGGGGCCACCTCTGCTCCCCGTGCCAGCACCCCCGGGACAGCCGGGACGCGGTGCCAGGCACGGGCCGGGCTCTGGGCAGGTCCGGGGCATTCCCGGGGGGGCCATTCCTTAATGGGAATTCCCTGATAGACAATCCCAGGTGGGCACTCCCGGACAAGCATTCCCGAGTGGGCATTCCCGAACAGGCATTCCCAAGTAGGCATTCCAGGACAGACATTCCTGGACAGACATTCCTGGACAGGCATTCCTTAATGGGAATTCCCGGGTGGGCACTCCCGGGCAGGCATTCCCAGGTAGGAATTCATTAATGGGAACTCCCGAACGGGCATTCCCCGGTGGGAATTCCCAGACAAGCATTCCCAAATAGGCATTCCCGAGTGGACACTCCCGGACAGGCATTCCCAGGTAGGAATTCCTTAACGAGCACTCCCGGACAGGCATTCCCAGGTAGGAATTCCTTAACGAGCACTCCCGGACAGGCATTCCCAGGTGGGAATTCCCGGACCGGCATTCTTTAACGAGCATTCCCGGGTGGGCAGTCCAGGACAGGCATTCCCGGGTGGGAATTTCTTAATGGGCATACCTGAATGGGCATTCCCGGGTGGGCACTCCAGGACAGACATTCCCAGGTAGGAATTCATTAATGGGCATTCCCGGGTGGGCAGCAGGGGGGTGTCCCGTGGCGGTGCTGAGCTGTGTCCCTGTCCCCAGGGCTGGCCCGGCGGGACTGGCAGGTGGCCCTGGGCGAGTACGTGCGGCGGGCGCGGGCGGGCGCGGGCGGCGTGGCGGGCACTGCCCCGCAGACCGGGCTGGCCCTGCTGGCGCTGCTCCTGGCCATGCTCCTCTGCTCCAGCCCCTGCGTGCGCCGCGGCGGCCACTTCGAGGTGATCCCATGGGAATTCCCGGCTGGAATGAAGCCCAGGGGTGTCCCTGAGAGCCCCCCCTGGGTGCCCCACACTGGCAGTTTGGGGGTTCTTGGGATTTTCTTCCCAACGGGATGCAGGGAATGGTTTCCCAGTGTCACAGGGAATCCTCCCAATTTATATATATTCAACATATATTTTCCATATATATATTCATATATTCAATATCCCTGAATCCGGGGATACTGGGAAGGAATTCCTGGCTGGGAGGAGCTGGAGTGGAATTCCCAGAGAAGCTGTGGCTGCTGCTGGATCCCTGGCAGTGTCCCTGGGATAGTGGGAGGTGTTGGGATGGAAAGTGGATGGGTTTAAGGTCCTTTCCAAGCTAAATCCCAGAGATTCCAGGATTCCCTTGGGCTCCCTTTTCTCACTGGGATACCAAGACAGCCCCACCAGGAAGAACCATTTGGATCCAGCACTTCCCATCCCAATTCCCATTCCCAGGTTTTTTACTGGAGCCACCTGTCCTACATCTCCGTGTGGTTCCTGCTGCTCCTGCACGGTCCCCACTTCTGGAAGTGGTTCCTGATTCCCGGCTCCCTGTTTTTCCTGGAGAAGGTTCTGGGCTGGGTGTGGCGCCGGGCGGGGGACCTGCACATCCTGGAGGCCAGGCTGCTGCCCTCCAAGGTGGGAATGCATCCCAGATCCCAAACCTCCCAAATCCCACCATCCTAGCCATCCCAGATCCCAACCATCTCACATCCCAAACATCTCAAATCCCACCAACCTGCTGCCTTCCAAGGTGGGAATGCATCCCAAACATCCTGTATCCCATCCATCCCATTGTCCCACATCCCAAACATCCCAAATCCCACTCTCCCACCTCCTCCTGGGACCCTTGGAATGAAGGAACAAACACAGAAAAGCTGGAGGTTGCAGCGGGAGGCGAAAGAATTCCTTTATTTCCAAGCCTTTTCCCCGTTTTTTTTTCCAATGAAAACTCACAGAACAACCAGAGCGGAGCAGAAACTCCTGGAACTCGGAATATTTTCCCAAAATCCCATCGTTTGAGCCCAGTCTGAACTGGGAATGGGGAACAAACCCCACGGGAGCCAGAACCCGGAATTTCCGCTGCACTTCCCGTGACGGAAAGCAGTGGAAGAGATCCTTTGGACATTCCCGGTTTTCCTGCTCCCGTTTTCCCGCAGGTGACCCACCTGGTGATCCAGAGGCCAAAATCCTTCCGCTTCCAGCCGGGGGATTACGTCTACCTGAACATCCCGGCCATCGCCGCCTACGAGTGGCATCCCTTCTCCATCAGCAGCGCTCCCGAGCAGCCAGGTGCCGTGATTTCCCTGGAATTTCCCTGGAATTTTCCCTTAACACCCCCAGGGTCTGTTTCCCAGCCCCGGGATCTGTTTCCCATCCCCAGGATCTCCTTTTCCATCCCTGGAATGTTTCCCATCTCCAGAATCTCTTTTTCCATCCCTGGGATGTTTCCCATCCCCAGGATCTATTTTACATCCCTGGAATGTTCCCACCCCTGAGAGCTGTTTCCCATCCCTGGGATCTGTTTTCCCCATCCCTGGAATGTTTTCTATCCCTGGGATCTGATTTCCCACTCCCAGGATTTCTTTCCCACCCCCAAGATCTGTTTCCAATCTCCAGGATCTCTTTCCCATCCCTGGGATCTGTTTTTCCAGCTTGGATGGGGCTGGGATCAAGCCAGGCTATAGAAGGCGCTTCCATGGGATGAGTTGGGTTTGAAGCTCCTCCCAGTCCCGAGAATTCCAGGATTTTGGGATTTCTCCCACAGAAACCCTCTGGCTGCACATCCGGGCGCGGGGCCAATGGACCACCAAGCTCTACGAGTACTTCCAGCAGCTGGAATTGCACGGCCCGGAGCCAAATCCACCCGGGAAGAGCCGGCACTGGGAACAGGTGGGATTGTGGGATTGGGATCAGGGATGGGGGCAGCTGGATGGGGATGGATCCCATGGGATCATCCCAGTTCACAGCAAGGGAATCCCTCAGGATGAACATTCCCTGCTTGTCCAGCTTTGAAGGATTTGTGTCTCATGGAATGGGAATTTTTGTCCCATGGAATGGGATTTGGGATGGATGGATGAATGGATGGGATGGTGGGATCTGGGACTGACGGGATTTTGTGCCCCATGGAATGGGATTTGGGATGATGGATGGATGGACAAGATGGTGGGATCTGGGATTCTCAGATTTTGTGCTCCATGGAATGGGATTTGGGATTGATGGGATATTGTGCTCCATGGAATGGCATTTGGGATGGATGGATGGGATTTGGGATTGATGGGAATTTGTACCCCATGGAATGGGATTTGGGATGGATGGATGGATTGGATGGTGGGATTTGGGATTGACAGGAATTCGTGCTCCATGGAATGGGAATTCCTGTGACCCTGCTGGAGGCCCAGCAGATCCCTGGGATTGCTGATCCCAGTGCTGATTCCTGGCTGTTGTTCCCAGGAAGGATCCGTGGCCTCTGGCAGGGATGGAGCCGTGGAGCTGACGGCATTCCGAGCCTCCGGAGCCGCTTTCCCGGGAAAGGACCTGGAGCAGGGGGTGAGCACTGCCCCAATCCCGGGGGATCCAACCACCAGAGAGTGGATCCCAAATGGGATAAAGCTCCTGAAAAAGCTCTTTGGAAAGAAATTCCTTGGATATTATTGTGAGATTGGCAGCTGGAATTGTGTGTGCAGCCCAGTGGGAAAACGCCCCCAATCCAAGGAATTTTGGGAATTTTTGGGAAGAGGGGGATGGTCACTGCTCCCTTCTCCTCGCAGGGCTCCGAGCCTGGGGAGACCCCACGGAGCTGCAGCGTCAAGGTGAGGATGTTCCTGCTTTTCCTGGATCCTGGGAAATGGCTGGGATCAGCATTCCTGAGCATCCCCGCATCCCTGTTCCCACTGTCCCCACATCCCTGTTCCCACCACTCTATCCATGATCCCATCCCTGTTTCTGTCCATCCCATCCACATTCTCACCAATCCATCCATGTTCCCACCATCCCTGTATCCCTATTCTCACCATCCCTGTATCCCTGTTCCCACAACTCCATCCACATTCCTGCTATCCCATCCCGGTTCCCACCATCCCATCCACATTCCCAGCTATTCCGTCCCTGTATCCCTGTCCATGAACGATCCCACCTGGGGCTGATCCAAACTCCCATCCTTCCCACCCATTCCTTGCTCCCACAAAACCCCGGGAATTCCCAAATCCCGTGATCCCTTCTCCTCCGCCTGGGAGCTGTTCCAGCACCTGGAGCTGCCGGATCTATCCCGAGTCTGGGACTTTGGGTGTCTCCCAGTGTTTCCTGGACGGTCCCTACGGAACTCCGAGCGGGCGGATCTTCAGCTCGGAGCACGCCGTTCTCATCGGAGCCGGCATCGGCATCACGCCCTTCGCCTCCATCCTGCAGAGCATCATGTTCCGGTGGGTCCCTGGGAATCTGGGAACATCCCAGGGATTTGGGAATCCTCGATCCTTGGGATTCGTTCCCACGGCCACGGGTGGGGCCTGCCTGGGTGCCAGGATTTTCCTTGGGAATTCGGGGTGTGGGAAAGGCACTGGAAGGAGCTTGGCCATGGGTGGGCATTGGGAAAGAAAGGGAAGGAATGGGCAGGAAAATTCAGGAAAGGCAGGGAAAGGTAGGAAAAGGAAGGGACAGGAGGGGAAGGGAAAGGCAGGAAGGGGAAGAAAGGAGCAGAAAAGCAGGAAGGGGCAGGGATGGGAAGGAAAAGGCAGGGATGGGGCAGGAAAATTCAGGGAAGGAAGGGACAGGAAGGGAAAGAAAGGAGCAGGAAAAGGCAGGAAGGGGAAGAAAAGAGCAGGAAAAGGCAGGAAGGGAAAGAAAGGAGCAGGAAAAGGCAGAAAGGGGAAGAAAAGAGCAGGAAAAGGCAGGAATGGGAAGGAAAATGCAGGAAAAGGAGGGAAGGAGCAGGAAGGGGAAGGAAGGATCGGGAAGCGCCTCTCCCTGCGCAGGTACCGGCGGCAGAAGCAGAGCTGCCCAAGCTGCCATTTCTCCTGGAGCGAGGAACGGCGGGATGAGGAGATGACACTCCGGAAGGTGGGAACGGGAGCAGGAGGGAATGTGGGATCCAGGCTTGCCCTGGGATGGGAACATCCCTCAAATGTGGGAGGATTGGGAATGGAGGCTGGATCTGGTGGGTGCTGGGATCTGGTGCAGGGGTGGTGCCAGGATCTGTTGTTGGGATTTGGCGATTGGATCTGGCACTGGGATCTGGTGCAGGGATGGTGCCAGGATCTGATGTCAGGATCTGGTGCTGGGATCTGGTGCTCGGATCTGGTTCTGGGATCTGGTGAGTGCCCAAGCAGAGTCCTTCCCGCGCTCCCAGGTGGATTTCATCTGGATCACGCGGGATCAGCAGCACCTGCAGTGGTTCCTCGGCCTCCTGGCCAAGCTGGAGTCGGAGCAGGCAGAGCTGGAGCCGGGAGGTGAGCGGGAGTGTCCGGCAGCATTCCCAGGAAAAACCCCCACCACAATCCAGGCCCTGGAGCGGGGCTGAACCCCTGGAATTCCAGGGAAGTTCCTGGAGCTGCACCTGTACATGACCTCGGCGCTGGGCAAGGGGGACGTGAAGGCGCTGGGGCTGCAGCTGGCCCTGGACCTGCTGGCGGCGCAGGAAAAGCGGGATTCCATCTCCGGGCTCCGCAGCCGCACCCAGCCCGGCCACCCCGACTGGGCCAAGGTCAGGATCCACATCCCACACCCGCCAGGATCCCCGGATCCAGGGAATGGGAATGATGGGGGGCGTGGAGAGGGTGAGGGGGGCCAAGGAAGGGGTCAGAGAGTCCGGGGGTGGGATCATGGAATCGGGAAATGGGATCGTGGAATCGGGGAATGGGATCATGGAATCATGGAATGGGATCAGAGAACCGGGGAATGGGTTGTGAAGGAATGGAAACATATTATTCCAAGCCTCTGGTCTGGGTCAGGGATTAAGGAATCATGGAATGTGATCAGAGAATCAGGGAGTGGGATCATGGAATGAGATCACTGAATCATGAGATCAGACAATCGGGGAATGAGATCAAAAAATCACGGAATGGAATCACGGAATGGGATCATGGAATCACGGAATGGGATCATGGAATCACGGAATGGGATCAGAAAATCATGGAATGGGATCACGGAATCATGGAATGGGTTGGGTTGGAAGGGACCCCAAAGATCATCTCATTCCAACTGTCTAATCCAGCCCAGGGATCACGGAATGGGATCGTGGAGTGATGGAATGGTCTGGGTTGGAAGGGAGTGGATCCCAGCGTGTCCCGTTCCAGGTGCTGGGGAAGGTGGCGGCGGAGCGGCGCGGGAAGGTCCAGGTGTTCTTCTGCGGCTCCGCGGGGCTGGCCAAGGTCATCCACGGGCACTGCCGGACCTTCGGATTCCGCTTCTCCAAGGAAAACTTCTGACCCGAGCTTCAACTCCACCTTTTCCAAGGAAAACTTGTGGCTGGAGCCCTTCCTGCCCTTCTGTGTCCAGCAGCCGATCCCGCTGCATCCCAGCTCGGATCCGCTAGGGCTGGGTGGGATGGGGCTTTGGGAAAGTTTCCTTTGGATCTGAGGAATAAATCAGGAAAACATGGGAAAGTTTCCTTTGGATCTGAGGAATAAATCAGGAAAACATGGGAAAGTTTCCTTTGGATCTGAGGGACAATTGAGGGAAAGATGGGAAAGTTTCCTTTGGGATCTGAGGAATAAAAGAGGTGGGAATGCTTCCTTTGGATCTGAGGAATGAATCAGGAAAAGATGGGAATATTGGGGCTGATAGAAGCAATTCCAGCTCCTTGGAAAAACTGGGATGGGAATTGGTGTCTGAGAGGTGCAGCTCACTCCAACCCGGAATCTGTGCTGGACTGGGACTGGTTTTCCTGGTTAAAGCAAGGGAATACAGGAATCAGGAGCTGGCGAGGCCATGGATAACAATTCCTCTTGGAATTCCTGCTTTTCCAGCCTTTTCCATGCCTAGGATCCGCTCTGTAGCAGCAGCTCCTGGTGGACAAGGTGCAGAATTCCTGGGATTAGCGTTGGATCAGGATTGGATTGTGTTCATCCAGTGCAGGGGGGGGTGCTCTGCCAGCTTTATCCCGAGCTGGGGGGATTTTAGGGATGGAGGATTTGGAATCTGGTTGGAATCGTGGAATTGTTTCTGTTGGAAAAGCCCTTGGAGATGACGGAATCCAAGCCACGTGCCACATCCAAAGGGTTCCAATCCCTCCGGGATGCGATTCCAGCCCTTCCGGGCAGCTCTTCCACGGCTGGAGCTTTTCCAGGTTGGAATTTTCCAGGTGGGAATTTTCCCGATATTCCCAAACCTCTCCTGGCACAGCTTGAGGGCAGCAAAGCCGCCTGGCCGAACCCGTTTCCTTTCATTCACTATTAATTCATTACTAATTAATGATTAATTAACGATTAATGAACTCCCGCTTATTAGCGCGATCCAAGCCGGCACCGCCCACCTCACGCGGCCTCTCCACGTGACCGATATGTGGGCGTGGCCTCCCCAACCAATCAGCGCCTCGCTCCGCCCTCAAGCCCCGCCCCTCAATCGCGCCGTTGTGATTGGCCGCCGCCGCTCTCGCGGGAAGCCGGGGCGGGGCCGCTCCCGCCGCTCCCCCGCGGCCGCGCCGGTGCCAGCGGGGCCCGAGGCGGTCCCGGAGCGGCCGCGGGGGTTCGGAGCAGCGCCCGCAGCGCTCCCGCTGCCCCCGGAGCCGCTGGGGCGGTGGCGCCTCCGCCCCGCCCCGCCCCGCCCTGCCCTACCCGGCGCCGTTGTGGCGGCGGCACCGACGCGCCGCGCTTTCCTATTGGCTGGCGCGCCGCCCCCCGCGCGCTCTCATTGGCTGCGGGGCGCGAGGGCGGGGCCCCGGCGCGGCCCCTCCGTGCTCCCCCCGCTGCCCCGCGCGGGGGTTCCGCCGCCCGGCAGGCCCTGGGCGCAGGTGAGGAGCGGGCCGGGATTCCCGGGAATTCCTGGGATAACGGGAATGGCGGGAATGATGGGAATCATGGCAGAGGGAGAGGGGGGGGAGAGAGAGAGAGGACAGCGGGATCGGCCGGCGCTGGCGGGGCTGGGCGTGCTGGGGCCGCCTCAGGGTCGCTGCCAGAGCCTGGGATGAGGGAACGGAAGCGCTGGGAATTTGGGATTTGGGAATACGGGCTGGGAATGTGGGAATGCGGACTGGGGAAACGTGGAGTGCAGGAATAAGGGCTGTGGAATTCGGGAATTTGGCCTCTGGAATTCGGGAATATGGGCTCTGGAATTGCTGGAATTCCCTGAGGAGTTTCCTGGGAATACCAGGATTTTCCTGCGAATCAGAAGATTTTCCTAGGAATACCATTTTTTTCCAGAGAATCCCAGAATTTTCCAGGGATTCTAAGGATTTCCCTGGGAATCAGAGGATTTTTCTGGGAATTACAGGATTTTCCTGCAGGATTTTCCTGGGAATTTGAGGGTTTCCTTAGGAACCAGAGGGTTTTCCTGGGAATTGCAGGATTTTCCTGGAATTCTGAGGATTTTCCTGGGAATACCAGGATTACCCAGGAAAAGCTCCATCTGGGCCTGCTCCAGCTCCATTTTTCCTGGTTTTCCCTGCAGGAATCCCAAGAGGAATCCGTAAATCCTGGGATTTTTGCCTCTGGAAGTTCGGGATGCGCTAGAATTGCAAAAATTCCAAGAATTCCCTTTCCCTAAGGTAAGAGCAGAGCTGCTTTCCCCCATTCCCGTTTATTCCTGGCTCTGTTGGGATACCTGGAGTTCCTATCACGGGTTGAATCCCACATTTCCATATTTTTCCCAGGAATGTTGGCACTGACCATGGACAGGGGCACCATTCCCATCCAGAACATCCCAAATCCATGTCCTAATCCCATATTTTTCCATTATTTTCCTGGGAATGTTCCATTATGCACTGCCTGATCACTCCCATCCAGAACGTCCCAAATCCATCTCATAATCCCATATTTTTCCATGTTTTTTTTTTCCCCAGGAATGCAGCACCATGCGCTGCCTGGCCATTCCCATCCAGAACATCCCAAATCCATGTCATAATCCTTTATTTTTCCATGTTTCTCCCGGGAATGTTCTGCTATGCACTGCCTGATCACTTCCATCTGGAACGTCCCAAATCCACGTCCTAATCC